TTTTTTTTGGGGTGTTGATTTAACGACATAAAATATTCATGAACAAAAAAACCAAAAAAAAAAAAAAAAAAACGCATTTAAAAATTATCCAAAAAATAAAAAGAGAACAATTTATTTATAACCATAGTATATTTTGCTTCTATTGTGACATACACTGCCGAAGAAATTGAATTGTACATTTTTATAAAGCATTTAAATTTAAACAGTTAAATCAACAACTCTGTCATATTTTTCTTTTTTCTCAACATTATTATGAATATATGAGTCAAGATTGAATTAATTTTGTAAATTTTTCGAATTCTTTTTATTTTATTCATTTGAGACTTATATATGTACATATTATGCAGGATTATGAAAGATGTAAGGCTAAGAACTTATGTTTTGTTTGTGAAAAGAGAAACATGGAGCTATACAATGTTCCATGTGGGTGTCGTATTTGGTGCATAAGTTGGGGAGAAGAACTGTCAGATTCTGTTCATCATTGTATCATCTGCAATGCAGAGGTTGAAAAGCTTGAACTCCTTTCTCTTCCATCTTCATTTTCAGATAATCGCCAATCGGTATGTATATGTTCTGCTATATTTTAGTTCTCAATCTTTTAATTGTTCCACTTTGATCTTAAAAGTATACAATATATTACACATTAATTCATGATATTAACACCATTTGAAATTAGAGAGATATTTTTAAAATTTTACTTGAAGACTCGACATAATTAAAATGACCAAATACACAAATGGTCTCAAACTATACTTTTTATACTATTTTGGTTATTAAAATATGTACTTTGTTTCATTTTAGTCTACAAAGTGTGCACTTCGTCACATTTTCATCCCTAATCTTTAGTTTTGTTGCATTTTTTATTTTTTGTCTAAAATTGTGAAAATACCCTTTATCCAGTTATTGATTTTGATTTGAACGTGCTAATGCTAAAGACCAAAAGGATTAGTCTTTGGCAACCAAAGTGAAATAATTAAAAAATTGAGGACTAGAATGTAATGCATACTTTAGGGACCATCTGTGTAATTAACCCTTACATATATTATATGGATTTACCAAATTTATCTATATAGTTTTCAATATTTCTTAATTAAAATCCAACATTGATTGAACTCAAACAATTTTGCAGATTGTGAATGAAATACCAGTAAAGACCCAGGCCCCTAAACAAAGGGGAAAACAGAGAAGAGAAATAAAGATGAGAATGAAGATGGAGGAGCAAAAAGATGAGCATGAAGATGGAGAAGGAGGAGCAAGTTAGATTTGCATGGGTTTCTTAGAAGTTTGATGTGACAAATAACTAGTTTTCGCCTCTCTGTTTTGAGAAAAATTAATGTAGTATATTCTAAGACATCTATTTGGCTTTGTGTTGCTTTGATTTTTATGTGCAGCTGAATTGTGAATACTTTATTAACCTGCCAGGTATATGTAGAATAGTTTTAGCATATGCATACATATGTATATATTTGATTTACAAAGTAGTTTGGGCATTACTCAGTTGTAGACCTAGCTCAAAATCTTCTTTCTCTTTAGTTTTTGCTGCCCTGCTTCGTTGCTCTGTTTCGATGAAATTTAGTATTCGTTTGGGAGGTAGCTTTTTTAGGACTGTTTTTTTGGCTAAAATATTAGTGAAAAATGCTGAAGTGTTTACAAATGATTTTTTTAACTTTTTATGAAAAAAATGCAGAAAGTAGGGATAGTACAAATATATATTTTTTTTGGGGGGCATATATGTATTTCATCTTTTTAGTGATTTTTTATTTTTTATTTTTCAGTAGAACTCTCCCATCCCAAGCAGATCTTTACCTCTTTTGGGTCAATAAGTGTGCAGTAATATGCTAAGAATACTAACATTTTTACCAAATATTTAACCAAATGTCTCACGCCATACTTATTTGAGACATTTGATAAAATATTTGATAGAAACATCGGGACCTGTAGCATTTTTTTTAGGAGTAAGTTGGAGGAATTTTTGGTGAAAAGCCCCTCTCATTGGGCCTTTTTTGTGTGAAGCCTATATAATAAAATATTGGTTCCAAAAGTCCCTTAAACGAAAAAAAAAATTAAAAAATGGTGAAAAGACTGAAATACCCTTCCATATAAATGGAAAAATATCAAATGGTGGAACCGTTTGTCTCCCTCATTCTGTTTCATCACTTGAACTCGTTGCTCTGAAAACAGATAACAGAAGTACACAATTACAGAGTAACAATTTGCTGTCATTGTATCAAAAAAAGAAAGAAAGAACAGATAGCACCAGAGTAAAATTTTATTCACATTCTATCAAACAAAAACAAAGCACGTACCAAAGTAAAATTTTGCTTTCATTCTGTCAAACAAAATCAGAATACATATTAGAGTAAAATTTTACTCTAATTTTATCAAACAAAACAAAGCACACGTCAGAGTAAAATTTTACTCTCATTCTATCAAACAAAAACATAGCACATGCCAGAGTAAAATTTTACTTTCATTTCGTCAAACAAAATAAGATCATATACAATAAAAATAAATAATAATAAAAAAAAACTAATCAACCAATCAACATACCTAATTGAACTTGAATAATAATCAAACACGCGATTGAAGCAAAACCTCTAAAACTCTATCAACACTCACAAATTTCGATGAATCTCTCTAAATCTGATACAAATTTGTATAGATTTGAAACATAATCCTTCGTTTAATTGAGAGTGCTGATCGTTGATGGCGAGATCGTACATTGTTGACCAAGAGTGAGATCTTCAGATTTCGATATCGTCTTCATAGATTTCGCAGATCATCTTCATTGATTTCGCAGATCCTTCTCACTAAGCACATGTATACAAGATCTATGTATACATGAGCTCAATATCCGTATATATAGAAGGCCAATATGGTAAAAAAAAAAAAAAAAAAAAAGATATAAATTATAAAATGTCTTTATTGAGCCACGCGTCTCCTATTTAGGGATTTTTTGTGAAGAGAAATTTATTGAGTTGTCATTTACCCTACAAAAAAGCCCATAAAGGGAGGTTTCACCAAAAAAGCCGGAGAGGTAGGCATTGGAACCTAGTATTTGAACAAAAATAGGACCCCAAAATATTTAGAATAATTCTATCTATACTAAAAATATAAATAGTCAAATGTGATTGGTTGTCAAAACAAGTCCTTGTAGCATTGAAAACATAAATAGTAAATTACAAATATATCACTTGAAATTTGTTTAAAATACAAATATATCCCAATAGAAGCTTAGCTTCAATGGACTTAGGATTACTGCTAATGTTGGACTCCCAGTAGGATTAGGATAAACTCTCTAAGAGTTTTTATCTTTACCCAAACTGAAATTTTCTCCCATTTTAGGACTCGTCCCTTATCCGCTTATCCCAAATTTCGTTATTCTCGCAGATAACCTCGGCCTAGCCAAGATCATCTCAGCATCATGACCAGGACACGTGGCACCCCGGCTGTCACTTCAGTGACACCTCGGCCACATGTCGTCATTCAAGATTTATGTCCCCACAAAACATATATTGAATAATTATAAATAGATTGTATATGAATTTTTAGAGTTTAAAAATTACTTTTTTAATGTAATTTTGTATGATTTTATTGTTGCTTCATATTATTTGAAAAAATAGAGTTGAAACGTAAAGGAAAAATTATAAATATATTTTTTGAGATTTGCTTAAAATGTGGATTTCTCTTTATAGTTTGGAAAATTATAAATACCCATTTGCATAATTTTTTATTTAATAGAATTAACTAAAAATTGAATTTTCTAATTATTTTCTTATACAATAATAAAATTACTTACATTAATTAAAATAAATTTATGATATCATTAAAAATTATTAATTGATTTGATAATTTATTAATAAAATGTGCCAATTGTTATGAAATTCAAAACATCAGGAGGCGAAATGTAATTTTTAAAATCACATAAAATAATTCATATTTTAAGCAAACCTTAAGGAGTGTAATTGTAATTTATCTAAAATTTTAAAATATTGTTTCGGGCTCAATGGGTCCAATAGGTCATGTTGGTGAGATCTCATTGGGCCGGATTGTTCACAAAGCTTATGGAGATTGGGCCCGGTCAAGTGTAAATTTGAAATTAGATTGGACCCTATCTATTAATATTTTAAGATATAGCCCAAAATAAATCTAAAAAACCCAAATAAACTCAAGTTTTGTGTCCCAATTAATGAAATCCCTTTTGATGGACTTGTTCTCCATTTGGACCATTTCATATTCTTGTATCCTAATTTTTGTCAATGATTATATGCTCATTTAAAATTTAACAAATTTATATACATTTTTTTTGCTACAAAACTCAAAGTCAATGTCAATTTAAGATTATTTGTTGGATTATAACCAAGCTACTTTGGGATACGATTATATTTGTTACGTAAGTTATTCAATCCAGTGTTTGATGGTGCAATGGATACAGTTTTAACAAGTGATATCCTTGGTTTGTTTTTGTAATACTGTTTAATTGTGAAAATGTCTTTGGAGTTACCAAAGAAAATTTAATTGTATATTTGTAAAGAAATATGATTTATAAAGAGAAATTTTATACGAGATTTTATATTACAAAGTGATAATATCAATCTTAAAAATATAACCCAAACTATTACATCATTCTAAATAAATAAAATTTTAAATTGAATCCAAATGCTACATCAATTGAACTCCAATCTATGTTTCATTAACAACCTTTAAGTTCACAAAATGCACACTACAATAAATCAACAACTTTTCACACTCATCATTCACAAATACAATTCCATATGAACATTCTTATTGGTTCCTCAATTTCTAGATCACTTCTTTTAACAATTAATAAAAGAAGAACAAGGGGAAAGAGACGAGACATCTTTAGTCTTAAATCTCTTTTATCTCTCTGTCTCAATGAATTTCTAATCATAAAATTCTATGAGAATTTCAAGACATAAGAGTCTCAAACATGACCTAATGACAAGAGAGAGAAGAAATTGTTTTACGTAGCGACAAGATTAGACCACTTGAGTTGCACCAATGGAGGTCTTTTGATGTATCTTATCATCGGCGTAGACTCCATGTCTGGTTGCATCATACTTCTCCCCATCACCCCACAATGCATACGCTTCCTCTCCATGCACTGCATCATCACCAATCTTCAACTGTTCCTCAGTCATTCGCAACGGAATCACCAACCTAATCACAACACAAATGATCGATGTGATCACGAGGTTCCACCCAATAATAAATAAGCCACCGGCGATTTGTTTGAGGAATTGGATTTCACCAGAGCCGCCATAGACGCCGCCTCTAGAGTTTGTGACGGGCAAGAAGAGGGCGCAAAGTGTGGGCTCTGCAAAGAGGCCGGTGAGGGTGCCACCGAGGAAGCCAGCGACGGCGTGGGTGTGGAAGACGCCGAGTGTGTCGTCGATTTGCTGGAGCGGTGTCCACCTCTTGTGAATTATCATCATTGTGAACCATGGAACACTGCCTGATAGAATTCCCATGACTATGGCAGCCCATCCTTGAACAAGACCTAAACAAATATATGTGTGACAAATTGATGAAATTGAAGCAAGATTATATAAATAACGATTGGTTAAGGTTGTAAATAAATTGAGTTAAGTTTTTTAGCTCAGTTTGTTTGAGAGTAAAAATTTTAAACTCATTTAGGCAATAGGGTTGCGCTTGAGTAAAAATAAGCTCCATTTGAATAGGGTTGAAAATATAATGATATATATAGATATAAATTAATATTTATTTTCAATAATTAAATAAATTATTTTTTAAATGAAATTTCACTAAAATTATAAAGACAAAAAAATTAAAAGGATAAATTACAACAAAACAACAACTCTTCAAAGTTCAATTTATTTATTTTTTTATTTCATTTCAAAAACTAACAAAGAGTGCCTAGTTACTTATTTTTTAAAAGAATAAAGGATAAATTTTTTTTTGCTTTTGACTCAAATTTTACTTTGATCACTATTATTGTGTCAATTTGATTTCTACATTTTAAATACAGTTTCAATCTAGTCATTCTATTCAAATTTGTTCGACATGAGAAATTGAAAAATATTCTAAAAATCGTTAATTGTAACTTTCAATTTAAATTACCAAATTACCAAATTAATGTAGATTTCGTTGGAGATTTCGTCGGAGATTTCAGTGGTGTTACAGTGTGTTGATCGCGTAGATTTTCAGTGGAGTTGAATCATGTTTGTTTTCGATGGAGATACCACATGCATTTTGATTTTTGTTTTGAATTTTTGTTTAGAGAGAGGCCAGTTTGATAGTGTTGATTTTTATTTTTTGAATTAATTTTTGATTCTTTGTTTTTTAATCAATTTCAAAGAGTGTTGACAGTGTGTTGATCACATAGGTTTTTGAGTGGAGTTGAATCAGGTTTGTTTTCGATTTAGATTACACATGGATTTTTATTTTTGTTTTGAATTTTTGTTTAGAGAGAGGCCGCTTGATAGAGTTGATTTTTATTTTTGGAATTAATTTTTCATTCTTTGTTTTTTGATGAATTTCAAATAGTGTTGACAGTGTAGGTGATTTTGATGTTTAGAGTTCATTTTTCGTGCTTTGTTTTTTATCAACATGCTGATCAATGATAAATTTTGTTCTATGTTTTTTCAAACCAGAGAAATTTGGTTTTTTTAACAAAAAAGTCAAAAAGTTACTAAAAAAGTCAAAAAATCAACAACCTATGTCAAAAAGTTAAAATTTTCATTTTCTCTCTATTTTTTGCATATCTTTTCGTAAAAAGTCAAAAAGTCATCACAAGCATACTAGTTTTTTTTACACCATATTTTAACTAAAAAGATAAAAAATTACTAAAAAACACATGGTCCCAAATGAGCCTAAATAGAAAAATAAGCAAACATTTTATTTATTTTTTTGTAAATGAATTAAAAATTAAGGATGGACTTTTCAGGTAGAAAGGGACAAAAATAAACCATATCAACCCTGGTCAGTACCGTGGGAGGGTACTATGATACCACTACACCAGATGCGCTGCTTACTATAGTGTTGCTAAAATGAACTAATATATATGCACTTATTTTCAAATCTTGAAATTTTAAATTGTTTATATATATATATATATATATATACATTATGAGCCGTTTTTTATCCATTTTGTTGATTTGAACAATTTGGTTCTTAGTTCATAGGTACATTTATCTTAAAAAATAAATAATCTATCTTTGTAATTGTATTTATTATTTATTTTTTTAAAGATAGATATAATTCAAATAGAGATTTTTGCCATAATTTTAACTGAGATCATCGCAAGTGAAAGGTGTAATTGATCATTTAAATTAGTCAGTTCAATGGATCGGATATCAAGTTATCAAAAAAATCTAATTTATTTTTAAGAATGATCTACCTGAGATATACAAAAAAAAAAAAGAAAAAAAGAGTAAATTACACTTTGGCCCTTAATTTGTTTTCTCTCACTTTAGCCCTTCATGTTTTAATTTTTTGTCAATTTACTTTTAAAGTTAACTTTTATTTAAAATTAGACAGAAAATATCACATTAACTACTATATAACCTAACAAAAATATATGTAGAATTTAGTGATAAATCCCATTTCACATACTTGTATTTTTAATTAGTTCAATTGATTTTATTATATTTCAATAAATTCTATAAAACAGGTATGGATTCCACTTTGATTCTCTAAAGTATAACATCTGGCGTTTTCATGAATGGAAAATAAATAAAGAAAACTTGAGACATCCATATAATAAAATGAAATCTTCGCATAAATGAAGAAAACGTGATCTACAAAGCACATCTTTGCATTTCTTGCTGATATCCCAAGTTTCCAAGTGAATTGTTTTGAAGAATTGATTTATCAAATCTTAATTTTTATTTATTTTTTATGAACATTTTTATCCTTATAGGCTTTTATTGTACAATATATATAATAAAATATTTTTATATTATGTGACTGTTATTGTATCATTTTCAATCTAATTTTAAACGTAGCTAACTCTGAGTTTTATAGTGTTTAGGCAAACTCTTGGGAGGTGGCCTTTTTACATATTCACCTCGAAAAAGAAATTTTTTTTTTGGAGTAATATGGTAAAAACAAAAATATTTTAAAAAATTTGTTGCTTGTGTATCTATTCAGTTTACTTACATATATATTAAGATAGAAATAAATCATTATAATGATTCAAAGGCTTATTTTGAGAAGTAGGTTTTTTGATTTTTTTTTTAAGTGTAAAAGAGTAGAGAGGTGATATGACTAAAAAAAACTAACTTTTAGCCGAGTTTCCAAAATAGGTAAAAATAACAAAATTCTAGTTAAATTGCTTTGTAATTTAGCAAATTTTAGTTTACACTTTATTTTTCGTTGTTCGGTTGGTCAAAATGTAAGTAAAATATGTTTAGCCATAAAGAACAAAAATTACAGGTTTGATTTTAGACATAAGTTAGCCTTTCAAGTAAATTTGAAAGACCAAAGTAAAAAAAAAAAGAGTAAAAAAATAGTCAAATATAAAAAGAATAAAATGTAATTTACCCAAAAATTAAAGGATTAAATAGGCGGAGGAAGCTCATCACATATATATAATACGTTGAACCCTCCTTCGAAACCTTTGAAGACTGGCAAAACATTAGAGTTAGACCCCATTTCTCTCTCTCTCTCTCACCTGAGAACGTTTCAAGAAATACCCAAAACCCATAACCAGTTCCACCATACAAACTCATTTTTAAAGAAATTATGGAAGATGAAGTAAGAACAATCTTTCCTACATCTAGCTATACATATGTGTCACAGTTTTATATTATTTATAGATTTATGGATATATGAATGTAATGGTAAACTTGAAAATATTGAATATTTTGCAGGAGAAGAAGATTGTGGGAATTGATGAACTCACCAAAAGACTTGAGAAATCTGAATGGCTCAAATTTAAGCCATTTGCAGTAGCAACAAGAAGAAGAGAAGAAGATGGTGAACAAGATTGTGATCAACCTTCAAACACAAGAATCATTCATAATAACAATAATACCCTCAAAAACGAGTTCTTGGATTACAAGTATGGGTGCGATCAATTTTCTTTCTTTCAAACCGGTCCCACCTTCGTCATTGTATGCTCTACTCATCTGCTTCTTCTTCTTTTTTTCACTCTATAATCATAAAATTTGGATGTCATGTGTATATATGAGAATTTGTAAAAGGAGACATTTGGCTTTGAGTTTATTGCATATAGAAACAGTGGGTTTTGATGCATATGTAGTCCATTGAGTATGAATATACAGATACAGTAATTGTAATTATCGTCATTATTAGGGTGATTTACGCTTTTAATCTTGTAATTTGATCTAAATTTTACTTTAGTCTCTATATTTTAATAGAGAAAAGTTAGGAATCATGAAATTTTTTTCATGAAAAATTTATAATCATTGGATTACCTTGATTAGTGTGTGGTGCTTTATTCTAAGTGTAATCTAAGGGTCACAAAGCTTTCATGATTATTTTTATGAAAAGTTTTTCATTATACTTAGCATTGCTGATTTTAATAATAGTTTAATTTTGGTCCTTTAATTCAAGTTAGAAGTTAAAATTAATGATTTTAGAACAATTATTAATTTGAGGTGTACACTTGAAGAAAAAAAAAAATTTGTAACGGGAATTTAGATAGAAGAACTAAATTAAAACTATACTTAAAATATAGTGATTAAATTTTTTTCAAATTAAAATAATAAGAACTAAAATAAAATTTAAATCAAACTATAAGAATGAAAATGTAATTTACCCTTATTATTATTATTACTATTTCCTCTTTTTGTATTGTAGGATAATTTGGTTGGAATGATTGTTTCAACGTTCTAAACAATTTCTTTTTGCCTCTCATTTTTGTTCCTTCTTTACTTATACACGAAGATGTTAATCAGCATTGGCAAAAAAAAAAAACCTTTGGGATAAGATTCAGATGTGCATATATGTATTCAAGCGTAGATCTCATTTATTTTGAGATAACACCATATAATCTATTACATTTTTTTTTTTGGGGTGTTGATTTAACGACATAAAATATGCATGAACAAAAAAAAAAAAAGCACATTTTAAAATTATCCAAAAAATAAAAAGAGAACAATTTATTTATAATCAGAGTATATTTTGCTTCTTTTGTGACATACATTGCAGAAGATATTGAATTGTACATTTTTATAAAGCATTTAAATTTAAATAGTTAAATCAACAACTCTGTCATATTTTTCTTTTTTCTCAACATTATTATGAATATATGAGTCAAGATTGAATTAATTTTGTAAATTTTTCGAATGCTTTTTATTTTATTCATTAGAGACTTACATATGTATATATTGTGCAGGATTATGAAAGATGTAAGACCAAGAACTTATGTTTTGTTTGTGAAAAGAGAAACATGGTGCTATACAATGTTCCATGTGGGTGTCGTATTTGGTGCATAAGTTGTGGAGAAGAACTGTCAGATTATGTTCATCAATGTATCATCTGCGATGCAGAGGTTGAAAAGCTTGAACTCCTTTCTCTTCCATCTTCATCTTCATCTTCATCTTCAGACAATCGCCAATCGGTATGTATATGTTATGCTATGTTTTAGTTCTCAATCTTTTAATTGTTCCACTTTGATCTTAAAAGTATACAATATGTTACACATTAATTCATGATATTAACACCATTTGAAATTAGAGAGATATTTTTAAAATTTTACATGAAGACTCGACATAATTAAAATGACCAAATACACAAATGGTCTCAAACTATACTTTTTGTACTATTTTGGTTCTTAAAATATGTACTTTGTTTCATTTTAGTCTACAAAATGTGTACTTCCTCACATTTTCATCCCTAATCTTTTAGTTTTGTTGCATTTTTTATTTTTTTCTAAAATTGTGAAAATACCCTTTATCCAGTTATTGATTTTGATTTGAATGTGCTTAAGCTAAAGGCAAAAGTCTAGTCTTTGGCGACCAAAGTGAAATAATTAAAAAATTGAGGACTAGAATGTAACTAATGCATACTTTAGGGACCATTTGTGTAATTAACCCTTATATATATTATATGAATTTACCAAATTTATCTATATAGTTTTCAATATTTCTTAATTAAAATCCAACATTGATTGAACTCAAACAATTTTGCAGATTGTGAATGAAATACCAGTAAAGACCCAGGCCTCTAAACAAAGGGGAAAACAGAGGAGAGAAATAAAGATGAGAACGAAGATGGAGGAGCAAAAAGATGAGAACGAAGAAGGAGGAGCAAGTTAGATTTACATGGGTTTCTTAGAAGTTTGATGTGACAAATAACTAGCTTTCTCCTCTCTGTTTTGAGAAAAATTAATGTAGTATATTCTAAGACGTCTATTTGGCTTTGTGTTGCTTTGATTTTTATGTGCAGCTGAATTGTGAATCCTTTATTAACCTGCCAAGTATATATAGAATAGTTTTAGCATATGCATACATATGATTTACAAAGTAGTTTGGGCATCACTCAGTTGTGGACCTAGTTCAAAATCTTCTTTCTCTCCAGTTTTTGCTGCCCTGCTTTGTTGCTCTGTTTTGATAAAATTTAGGATTCGTTTGGGAGGTAGCTTTTTTAGGAGTGTTTTTTTGGGCTAAAATATTAGTGAAAAATGTTGAAGTGTTTACAGATAATTTTTTGACCTTTTTTTGAAAAAAATGCAAAAAGTAGAGATAGTAGGAAAAAAATCTTAGATTTTTATTTTTTTTGTATATATGTATTTCATCTTTTCAGTGATTTTTTTTTCTACTAAAACTCTCTCATCCCAAACAGACCTTTACCACTTTTGGGCCAATAAGTGTGGAGTAATGCTAGGAATACTAACATTACAATCAAATATTTGACTAAATGTCTCATACTATACCTATGCCATCCCTATGAGAGATATTTGATAAAATATTTGATAGAAATGTTACAGCATATAGCATTTTTCATTGGGACCTAGTATTTGAACAAAAATAGAACCCAAAATTTTTAGAATAATTCTATCTATACTAAAAAAACAAATAGTCAAATGTGATTGGTTGTCAAAATAAGTCCTTGTAGCATTGAAAAAATAAATGGTAAATTACAAATACATCTCTTAAGATTTGTTTAAAATATAAATTGTCTTATGTGGTTTTAAAATTACATCTCGTCCTTAAAGTTTATAATTTCATAACAAATAACTCATTTTATTAATAAAACATTAAGTTAATTAATAGTTTGTAATAATGTTAAAATTTATTTTAATTACTAATTTAGATAATTTTATTATTGTATAGTAGATTAGTTAGGAATTTTATTTTTTTAATTAATTCTGTTAAATAAATTTTTTTGACAATGAGGTATTTATAATTTTTCAAACTATATGAAGTAATCTGTATTTTAAACAAACGTCAAGAGTGTATTTATAATTTTTCAAAAAATAAAATTAGCTCAATAAATTAAAAAATTAAAATATTTACAAAATAAAATAAAATATTTAAATAAAAAATATATATTTAAAATAAAAAAATAAAATTAAGTGTTTACATTGGGCACTTTAGTATTTACATTATAGGCATTATAGGCACTTGAGGGCATTTTAGGTATTTTTGTATTTACAGTTGATGACATCAGCAGGGTCGACTAGGTGCATAAACGGCGGTCAAATTTTAGGGGAATCTTGACATTGTCAGGTAAAGTAGGGGAGTTACTGTAATTATTCAAACCAAAGGGGAGGTCCCTGTATTTGTCAGAAACCTCAGGGGAGGTAAATGTAATTTACCCTAAAAAATTAGATTCCAAGCAGAGTGTTAACTTGTGGTGACTCCTCCTTCCGCGACTGTAAGCTGCCATTGTGAGGAAGAAATCGGTGTCTGATGTTCCGCGACTCACCGGTACTGAGTCGTCTCCCTTCGTTTCTTTAATGCTTTTTAATTGAATAATATTTGCCTTAAAAATGGCAATTTCTGTGTTCTATTTGATTTTTGTTTTCATTACAATCAAATCCATTAAATTTAAATTTAAATTTTTTTGCTATTAGACTTGTACTTTGAATCAATTTTTTGTTCTTACTTTGTCTTTCTAAATCCATTAAAATCCTTATAAAGAGTGTTATGCTTTGCCACAAGTTTTTGTTCACTCTTGGCTATTGTTTAATGTTGGGGAAAATTAGTTTGTTTGTTTGTTTGTGTTATTTTTTCAATGTGGTTGGAAACATATGCTTTGCAGATATATTTTCTTCAGCTTATTCATTTCTGTGCCTTTGGGTTGAATTTATGTTGATCATTGATTGGAATCTCATTATAGTTGGTTTAATTGTAAATTGGATTTTGGAAACTTTTTTGTGGCTACTAATACATAAAAATTGTGCATACTTATCATTTTATTGAAATTTTTTCCTTTTTTTTTTATTATGTAAGAGGTCCCATCTCATGAGTTTGCCTAGGGCCCCATGAAACTAAGGGCTGGCCCTGTTAGTGCTACTAAGAATTCCAAAAGGATAAAAATTACACTTATAATCTTTAAAGTATACACCTTATCTTATATGTAATTTTGATGGGTCAAACACATAATATTGTGACTACGCACATCTCATTGTAACCAGAGGGGCGTGCCCAAAGGGTGCGCATTGTTGATTTTGCCTAGTGAATAAGCATATATATATGTATATCGTTTGTGTTCTGTACATTTCTGTTGTCTCTCAGTAGATTGAAACTTTGTACTTTTGCATTGTCATCAAATCCATATTAAGCTGACTGCATATGTTAGTAATTCTTATTACAACACCTTCATTCAATGTTCCCAATCAAAACATTCCAAAATTCTACTCAAAATTTAGAAAATGTTACACTAATTCGCAATTCATTATGAAGTCAAATTTTCATAAGCTATAGACACACACAAGGCATGAGTTGAAGTCACAAAAACCACCTCTCCAATAATGGAGGTAAGGCTGCATACATCTTGTCCTTTTCAAATCCCGCTTTAGTAGAAGTCTCGTGCACTGAGTCGCCCTTTTATAGACACATACAAGGTACATACTCTATCGGAAAGGAGCTAGAGGATTTGGACTACTTGGAACTTTAGAGATTCTTAGCTCTTTACAAACATGATCTAACATACCCAGAAAGTCCCTCACAATCACAAAAATTCGAAGCGGGTTCACTTCTTCTTTGCTCACATTTCCATGAAAGTATTCTGTAATTTCTCGAACATGTAAAAGCACTCTTCCCTCATCTTCCCGCAACTCCTTTATATTCTTCTCTGCATAACCAATAAAAGATCTCATGCAGTTCACAAAATTCTCTCGCTTTTCATCCACACACAAGTCCTTGCCTACTAGATGTTTCAACTTAGCCATTTCATTTGACAGGTTTGAGACAGAGCTTGCAAGAACATCCAAGTCTATTGTAGCTGTTTTCTTCACATTGCATAGTTCAATACTTAGACTAGAAACAAGATCTAGACCCATCCTCCTGTAATCTTCTTCTCTTTCTTCAACATTTCGGATCTTGTTTTCCAGATTTATATTTCCCATAATGCTCTCTGAGACTCTGATTCCTTCTGATCGAATGATTTCTTGGACAACAAAATGGAGAAGTGTTGTTCTTCCATCAGTTCCTTTCACATCAGATAGCTTGAGGAGGGTGTCAAGCTTGAATGCTCTGGCACCTCCTCTTATGGTTCCAACATTCATTCTGTTTCCGGTTTTAAGGACTGCTTCAAGTAATTTTAGGAAGAGCTGACTTGATCTGAGTTCATTGCAGGCTTCCTGAAAGAAAAGAAAAAAGAAATGGATCGTTCATTTCAAAATAAGTTTTCCCATTAGATAAGAAGCATGAACACTTCTAAAAAGGTGATGTGTTGGATACCAATAAGATATGACACTTCTGCACAGTTCCCAACAGCTATCAAACACATGTTCAAACATGTCCTATTTAAAAATATATATATTTCTACACACTTCAGACACTTAGCAAGCACACATGTCTATTGTTTAGGCACACATGAAACACATTACAAATTTGAATAAAATATAAATAATGTAAATTTATACATGTTCTCTACCTTTAGATTTTAAAAGTTAGTCTTTAAATTAAATATTCATATATATGATATATAATAATTGTTTATCCTTAATATATGCTATTTTGTGCTTGGCCACTCTCTGTCATGCTATATTTTTTTGAAATTTTTTGTATTAGTGTGTCCATGTCATGTCTATGTCATGTCACGTGTACATGTCCATGCTTGGATGATTAATTACCTCTAGCATTGAGAAAGACTTTCTGAGATGAACTACTTCATCTTCAAAAGTTTCTTTGTAAAGCATGGCTTCAATCCTTAGAAAGGCAAAAGGAATGTTTAACATTGTCATGACAAACTTCTCTGCTGAGCACAGTTCATTGATGTCTCCTTTATAGCTTGAGAGCTTATCTTCTTCTTCCTTGGTGGGTACCATCTTCACTAATGCTTCTAGTTGTTGTAAGCACAAGCCCTCCCCTGTTTTTTTGGAGATTTTAAAACTTAGAACAGGGGAAATATTAAAAAAGTATGAAATATAGTTGTCCTATGTCTTGACATGAAAATTATGTGAATTTGACACTTAGGCACATACCTACCCGCAACATCTAACTATTTGTTCATTATAATCTTAACATTAAAATTTCATTCAATCTGATCCTAAATGGAAGCATGTTGTATCATATTGCATTGTAATTTCATATTTCTTTCCCCCACATTCGGTGAATTCTTGTAGGTAGAACAACCTCTGATAAAGAAAAATTATTCAGTAGTTTCGGAATACCACCATAACATGTGCACTCATCCTATGAGATTTCACAAAAAGGAACAAATGGGGCACCTTGTCTCCCATCTAGCCAATTGATGGATGGGATGGGGCCAACCTTGTCTCCTACCTAGCTGGTCTGATCAACTCCACCCATCTCATTAATACTATTCTTTTTTTTTTTTTTTTTTTGATTGAGAACTCAGCCCAGGTAGGGTTTTTTGGACCCACCCCAGGCAACTCGGGTTCAAAAGCCACCTCCTAAGCCTATGAATTGGGAAAACAAGAGGGGAGTCAAACCTCAGACCTCCTAGACAAGAATTGGTCCAATATGAAGACTGTTTATCTAAACATAATAGAGTTTTAGGAGAAAAACCTTGTACTAGTGCATCACAAACTTGCTGAGCAGTAACATTCAAAGCTTTTGCAAGTATGGTAATGTTTTGTAGTCTCTTGTGTTCAAGAATATGCTTGCTTGGAGAAGGGCTCTTGCTCTTTGCCTCATCATTCTTCATAGAATTTTGTAGATTGTATCCAAAAAGTGATTCAATCATCTCCTCATCCAATCTGTTCCACATCTCACACACTGTTTAATTCCCAAACATAAAAGAAATTGAAACCAATTACAACATGTAAAACAAAATCTCTTACTCAAATGAGCTTGATGTCAACTTGTCCCACACCATAGACCGGTCTGGTGCAGCTCTAACTTTGTCCCAGTGAAGCGGTTTCAGCTTTGGCAATGGAGCTCCGTCTTTGCCCAATGGGGTAAACAAAGGAAGTTGGGATGGCGGAGGAGGTGGCAAGCCTTTAAGAGAGTTATTATAATTTCCTTTGAAAAATGGCGGTGGACATGGTGGTGGAGGAACATTGCCTGAAGGCTTAGGAGGACTAGGAGGTGGCAAAGGTGGCAAATTACTTTTTGGGAGGCCTCTTGTCTCCAATCCAATTTTGGATTGTATTGGTGTAGTATGTGCTTGTGGGCCCACTGCGGGTCTTGCTTTGATGACCTGATTTGAGTTTCTTGGAGATAATGAAAATGGTAATGTAGGAGAACTTAAACCTTTACATGTGATCTGAGTCGAGCAAGAAGAAGAATGAGAAGGAGAAATGTGTAAATTACTTGAGGAAGGAAGGGACGGAGGCGGAGGCGGTGGCGGTGGCGGTGGCGGTGGAGGAATAGTGCTTGAAGGCTCAGGAGGATTAGGAGGTGGTGAAGGTGGGTTTTGATTTGGGAGACCGCTTGTCTCCAGTCCAACTTTAGATTGGCCCGGTTCAATTTGGGTTTGTGGGCCTACCATGGATCTCGCTTCGATGATCTGATATGAGTTTCTTGGAGACAATAAAATTGGTACTGTGGGAGAACTTAAAGCTGTACATGTGATCCAAGTTGAACAAGAAGAAGAATTAGAAGGAGAAATGTGTAAATTACTTGAGGAAGGAAGGGGTGGCGGTGGCGGTGAGGCTGAGGATGTGTCAGTAAGACTACCTGCTGAAGCATTAGAAAGCCTCATGTTGGATGAATATGAATCACAGAAAGAATGAAAAGATTCATCACCGTCTGATGATGAGCTACTTGATCAGCAGGAGACTACCTCAATGATCATCATCAGATGATTCCATCATCAGATTCGTACTTCAGTGACTCTTCTTCACTCTCATCACGAACACACATGATTTCTTCTTGCCCTGACTCTTCTTCTCTCTCATTCAATTCACATCTTGGTGTGTTTTCATTTGATGATGAGTTGTTGACAACTTCAAAATTTTGTTTCAGACAAAATGGTTGTGGTTCTAAAGCAGTTTCTAGGGACTCAATGTAAAAGAGGTCCAAGACTGGTTCAGAGCTCACCCTTTTCACTGAGTTTTGAGAGTTCACATACATGGTGGGCCGACCTCTAGAGCCTGCTTCCGTGTTGTGTGTTTTTGACCCCGCATTAGCTGATCTCTTTCTCACCCATATGAGCCCAATGGCACACAACAAAAATATAGCTCCAACAGACACAAGAATTGAAACTAGAATTCTTTTGAGTCTACCTTTATGATCGTGTCTGTGAATCTTGTGGGGTGGTGGTGCGATTGGATGCGTTGGGTGCACCAAAACAGGAGGTGGAGCTCCTGATTCAATGGTGGGTGATGGGGAAGGTGATGGTGATGACCACACATTTTCAGTGTCACCATTGATGGTTTTGAATCCAAGTAAAGCTCTGAACTTTTCTATGATCAGAGTTTGCTTTTCTTCACTCTCATCCTTTCCTGTGACCTTCTCAATGTGGTGGTTCTCTTTACCATCTTCACTCTCTTCCTCCAAGTAATAGAGCTCTTGTAGGCCATCATGGCCATTCAAGTGATACTCCGCATTCAATGAAGCATCCACTGCCAGAATGTGGGTAGTAATTTGGAATGAAATGAACATGAGGATGAGGAGGGTGAAGATCATGTGGAGAGTAGTGTGAGAATCGGAACCCATATGCTTCAACCCAAAATCATCAAGCAATGAGTCTACCTTTCTGCATATAAGGCTAGCTCTGTTTTTTTATTTTTATTTATTTTTGTAAGTAAAAGAAAGAAGGTTGGTTTTGGGTGGTGCGAGAGGGAAAATTATTAGGTAGTCCTGGAGTCCCACACGACGTTACTTACATGGTGCTTCTGAGACATAGATGAGGCATCCCCTGTTTCCAAACTAACTATTAAAGATGGGTCAACATTGTCTTACTTGTAAAATTTTTTGCTACATCATTGCTTGGAGTACCATGTGAACAACATCATGTGGCACTAGTATCCCCACACTACTGAATAATTACCCTGTGGGGGTGTGATATGTAGTGAAGAAGATCTTTATGTGGAGAGTCTTTAATGCTACTCCAAGAAACCCCTGAACCTTTGGCAGCTGTAGTTGTAACTGGACCTTCTTTCTTTCATGTGTTCTTGCCCTCTTATCTACTCTCTCTCTCTCCACCATTAATTGCCTCTGCTAGTCACTGTTTAGCTTGTTTGGAGCTATAAACTGTTTATAGTCTTTTACTGAGCATTTGGTGCAATTTCTGCTTTTAATTTCTATTTTATGATTATCAATTTTCATGATTGAGAAAAACTGCCATAAAAAGGCCTTTCTCAGCCTATCTTTTGGGATATGTTTCACAAATTTTACTCAAAATCTGTGCTTCTATCCGTCATTCACACACCTCACCATCTTCTTCTGGTTTAGTGTTAGCTTTGGAGTGTGAAAAAGTCTTAGGATGTAAAATCAAATTCATGCGTTTTTAGATGTGAATCAAGCTTTATGTAGCTAAAAGTCATCAGTGAATCTGATAGTCTTTTGGTGGGTCTAGATTGGTTGGACTTGCCTTGCTTTCCAGGAGGGTGATATTGCAAGTTTTCACCAACCCCACAATATTAAAAGAAGAGAGGGAGAAAATGTTCCATCATTTTCTCATCTGATTTTTCCATCCACAAACCCAATGGATTAAAATAGTCAATAAAACAAAACACTACATCACATCAAAGTAAAACCTCTTAAGCCTCTTTTAGAGATAGACAATTTTAGTAATTTTTTTATTTTTATGAAAAAATGTGCAGAAAAATAAGAAGAGTGACGTGACAATTTAACTTTTTAAACTTTTTAACTGAAAGTGAAAGTTGCCAAACTTTTTATTATATTGTTTTTGAAAACACACCAAATAGGTTTATTTTATTTTATTTTACTTTTCAAAGAGCAAACACACCAAACAGGTTGAAGAAGTATGAAAACTTTGAAATTTTTTGCCACTCCCCCCCCCAACTTTTTAAAGTACAATTTTTAGAAGTATAAAATTTCAAATTCTAAACTAATTGAGTTATTAATATATATATGTATGGAGAAAGCAAGATTTTTGATGTTGAATTATGTGAGGCTAAAAAAACTAGTAGACCATATGTGTCCCATTCACACACTACTTTAGATTGAATCTCCATTAGCAAGTGGTGTGTTAGTTAATGTTGTTTATAGATTTGCATGTAGCATTTTATGGTGTGTTGGGATTAAATTTGAACTTGTGGGCTGTGGGGGTACGTCTCTCTCACATAACCACTGGAGAGAGAGAGAGAGAGAGAGCATTACACACACACACCATCCGTCCATACGTATATCATTGGCCAATTGGGTTGGCTTGCCCGCTACTTAGAATGCCACTCCATGCCCTTTACTTAGACTATAATAAGCAGTTCGGTTTAGTTGGGATTGTGAAAAAATTTAGGTCTTGTTTGTCATAACCGAAAAAAGTCAAAAAGTCGCTATCCTATTTAAATCACATTTATTTATTTAAATCACATCACTTTAAACCCAATTTATATTTTATAAAAAGTCAAAAAGTACACTTATCCCAAGCTACTCCTTAGTATCGAATGAATCCTTCACTTTTGTTGGTTTCATGAAAAGTTGAAACGATGACATGTTAAGGTTTAGTTATTTTGATTTTTTGATTTAGTGTAAATGAGAGGTTTATAAATTTTTTTAAAGAGATTTATAAAATCATACAAAATTTCATATCAAGAATAAATGAAGAGAAATGGTGGACATATAAATGGCTCCCTCTAACTTTTATTGCGAAGTATGTAATATTAGTCACTTATCTTTTAATATTCAAAGAATTAGAATATAAAAAAGTAATTAAATATATGATTTGAGTAGGTATTGATGTAAAATTTTTCAGAGTTGAAATAGTCCTTATGTTGTGATAAATTAACAGAAATTTTTAAGCAACAGAAATTTCTGTTGATCTCGAACAGTTGTTTGCATTAATTATGCTTGTTTTACTCATATTAAAAAGGAAGTCAATGTAATTATACCAAATTTATGGAATTTATTGTATTTTTAAAAAAAATTTAAGACAGATCAATGTAATTTATCCGCTTTCTTTTTTCTTTCTTTTTTTTAACAAAACCCTCTAAATAATAATAGGTAAAATGAGAATTTTATTGTAATTTTATAGAATAATAAAGATAAAAACAAATGGAGTGATTTTTTTTTTTTTTTTTTTTTTAAATGAGTAAAACCTAATCCGGCCCAACATCAGGCCTAAAGTCCGAACTGAAGCCTAAATATAAAATTACCTTTCGATCCGAAGCTCATACTGTATATTAAATAAACAATAAAATTTAAAGCTTGGTAGGTGCATTTTTCGTTTAGTGTATTTTTTTATTTTTATTTAGAAAAAAATAAAATAAAATAAATTATAAATGTACATATATACATATGTAATTTTTGGATTCAAGAACTATTCCCAAACCTAGTCTATTTAATGAATGGACCTTAGAGTTCAGCCCAATTCTACTCCATGGGCTCAAGTATTAGTCCCAAGCGCTTAATTTGAGACCAGAACCATAACACAAGAAAATGGGCCAAAACATGTAAATTGAACAACCCAAATCTAATAAGATCTAGATCAATAGAAATATGATTATTTTTGTCAATTTTGGCGATCTACTTAACTATATCACCAATTGATTCTTTTCATGTTAAAAGTTATTCAGTGCATTTAGAATAAAATCACTTGGTGTTTTAAGACATTCATATTCTCTCATTTTTTAGTCCGAACTGAAGCCTAAATATAAAATTACCTTTCGATCCGAAGCTCATACTGTATATTAAATAAACAATAAAATTTAAAGCTTGGTAGGTGCATTTTTCGTTTAGTGTATTTTTTTATTTTTATTTAGAAAAAAATAAAATAAAATAAATTATAAATGTACATATATACATATGTAATTTTTGGATTCAAGAACTATTCCCAAACCTAGTCTATTTAATGAATGGACCTTAGAGTTCAGCCCAATTCTACTCCATGGGCTCAAGTATTAGTCCCAAGCGCTTAATTTGAGACCAGAACCATGACACAAGAAAATGGGCCAAAACATGTAAATTGAACGACCCAAATCTAATAAGATCTAGATCAATAGAAATATGATTATTTTTGTCAATTTTGGCGATCTACTTAACTATATGACCAATTGATTCTTTTCATGTTAAAAGTTATTCAGTGCATTTAGAATAAAATCACTTGGTGTTTTAAGACGTTCATATTCTCTCATTTATTAAGTCATTTAATGTTGTGTTTGGATGATAAATTTGAAAAAATAAAATAAAAATGAAAAAAGGTGACTGGATTTTTTTTCACTTTTCCCTTCACAATACTCTTCAAATTCAAGATTCAAACGGAGTTTGAAGCTAAACTCTCATTTTTAAGTTTGGCCTTGAATTTACGGAGAGGTTTGTGAAGGAGAAAAGAAAAGAGAAGGAAAAAGTAAATAGTTAACCTCGGAACTTAGAGAACAAGTGTCTAGATTTTTTTCAAAATGCATGTGAATGGTAGAAATTGAAGGATTGTGTTGTGAGGTCCATGTATAAAATGAAACTGGACCGTATATTAATAATTTTGAGTATAATTTATGGGTTTGTAGCATTATTAAAAGGTAATTGCAATATAAACTAAGTTTTACACCTTCACAAATTCCCCCCAAACTTCAAGATCCAAACATAGCGTCCTCAAAAACAATAAAAATATAATAATACAGAAACTGATTACAAAATCATGTACAATCTTCTCGCATGAGATGGGTTTTTTATTTTTTGTGAGTCCTACACCCATTTATGAGAGTTGCATCTAATTCTATAATTGATTTTTGTTCTTTCATTTCTTGGCAGCCAAAGCCAGTTTAAGCTGTCTGATCTTTCGGAAATATAGCACCAACTCATCTCTATTTGGTGAGCATTCTTTGATCAATGGCAACTCTAGGAAGTCCTCCATCCATTTGATGAAAGAAGGATACTTGAGTGAGTCAACCATTTTGACACAAGAAACTTCTTCAATTATGTCTAGCCCTATGGCTATAAAACCCATGACCAGGTCCAAGTAACCAATGGTTTCACCTCCAAAGAACTTCTTTCCCTTGAGCTCTCCTTCAACGATTTCTAGGGCTTCTTTTGCATTCTTCACTTCCATCTCTTGTTGTTCTCCATCAAGCAATAGCACCTTCTTTACCACTTCAGTGAACTGTTAAAAAAAATAAATAAATAAAATCTACTTAGGTCCTGTTTGGCAAAGGCTTAAAACCTATTTTTGGCCCCAAAATATTTTTTGACATTTATAGCCCCAAAAATAGCTTATTTGGCATTGACTTAAAAGTTGAACAAAAGACTTGAAAACCTGTCTTTTACCAAGTGAGCCATTAATAATATTTAGGGCAAATTACATTGGTGAATCTTATATTTTACTGATTGTGTCATTTTGGTTAGTATACATTCAATTGTTTAATTTTGACCCTTAATTTTAAATTTTGTGTCAATTTAATTCAATTGATAATTTTGTTAGTGTTTTTTAAAGAAAATTATCACTAAATTAGTTGAGGTTAACTAACTGAGTTAAGTATCTTTATAATTTTGCCCTTAAAAATATAACACGTGATACTTATGTGCGTATTTTTGATAAAGAAATACTAAAAATTGTAATCAATTAGACCAAATTGGGACAAAATTATAAATAAAAGGTCAAAATTGAGCCAATTGAAATTACAATGACTAAAATGACAGAATAATCAAAGTACAAGAATTACCATTGTAATTTGTCCTAATATTTATTTATTTATTTATTTTTGCATCTTAATAATATTAGAATATATGATTGTCTTATCTATATATATATATATATTTATCTCCTGTTATTGAAAAATCACATCCAGTGAAATATAGGTCCAACAACCTCCCAAATAATTTCTCAAGTGAAACAATCTCTTTACCAATATATCCCATCATCGGTTATATATGATCAGAATTATTTATATACTTGTGATGAATTTATTATTGTGTAATTTATAGCACACAAACATCAATCTTGACTGAATATTGACATAGTTTTCTATTACTTTTGTTTTTGGATACCATCGTCCATCTTCCCAATTAGAGCAAAGTTTCAATTTAATCCTCATAGTTTTCATTCCAACAACTTGAATCTTATATTTTTAATTGAACAATTTACTCAATCAAACTATATAGGTACTAATGGTACAATTTACCCTAAAAAAAATCTAATGAACCATATATATTAAACCTTCATGACAGCAACACAAGATTGAAATGGTCAGAGATGAGAGAGATTACCTTTTCTTCAACAAACTTAGCCCAGAAACGAGCCTTGGCTCTCTCATAAGGGTCCTCAGGCAATATAGGGTTGTGTTTCCAGATGTGGTCGATGTACTCAATGATGATGAGGGACTCACATATAGGTTTGTCGTTGTGAAGCAGGACGGGGACTTTTCTAAAGATGGGATTGCAGGTGAGGAGAAGATTGCTCTTGTTGAAAACGTCTTGTTCTAAGTACTCATATTGGATGTTTTTAAGCTTCAGAGCCCATCTTACTCTGTAGACAAATGGACTCACTGATGAGCCCAGCAGCTTCACCTCTTGCCCCTTTTCCATGTTTGATGATTTTGTGATTTTATGACTTCCTTCCTTCCTTCTGCTCTTTTCTTATATATACAACACACGAGAGAGAGAGAGAGAGAGAGAGAGAGAGAGAGAGGGGGAGGTAGCTTTTCTTGTTCAATCATCAATTTTTTGGATGCTTTTTTTGGGAGTTCGGTTAAAAGTTTTGATTTTCTTAAATTTTTTTGAAAAATTGTATAAAAAAATAAAGAGTTAATATGACTTAAATAAGTCAAAAAATCAAAAAATTAGTTTTTAACCCAAATTGCCAAAATATTCAAGTTGGTATTAGAATTTTCATTCAATTTGATTAGTAAAATTAATAATGAGGGAATTAATAACTTACGAGATTAAGCTTATTTTGGAAAGCAAGTTAAAAGCTGAATTTTTTTATTTTTTTTTAAAAAAGTACAAAAAAGTAGAGATGTGATATAATTCAAAAATTTCAAAAGCCAAAAAATTGACTTTTAGGATTAATTATTCAGTTGGATCAATGTGATAAATAATTCACTCTTATCGCGTTTATTTTGCAATAGATATGGACACATATAATCTCAGTTATATGTTTATTTTGTATTATTAGTTGTAGGATTAAAAAATTTATCAATTTTGTTAGATAAAATATTCATCAAAATTTAATTCAAATAACGAATATTGCAACCAAACAATGGAATGTGAGTTATGTGGATTACTAATCTCAACCCTGCACTATAAACACCACAAATAAGGTTGCAAACAAGTAGAGTTGATTTAAGTCTAGTATTAAGTTGCTCAAGCTTGAATTGAAAGAGTTTTTGAAAAACTTAAACATTTTCAAAAAAATTTCAAACTTAGCTTTTTATACTTCAAACAAGTTTTTAAGGAGTTGGATACAAGTCGAGCTTTAATAATTTTTTTTTTATAGTATATATAAGTTTATTGAGTCAAGTAATAAATTGTTCAAGTTTAATTTAAAAAATTAACGTATTTTAAATTATGTTTAAATTTAATTTATTTATCTAATCAACTTTTAGTTAACCAAATAAGTATATGTAAAATTTATAAAACAAAAAAAGAATAGACTTTTCTCGCATGCAACAATCCAATCGGTGGTTTTTTGAGGAGAAAAGTAAAGAAAGACAATTTCAAATTGGATGTAAAAACATAACCAATCAAACATTGACAAATTCTTCTCAATGTGAAAAGTGGCTGACAAAACAAAAAAACAAAATTCAAAAGCAAAGAGAGAAAATTGCGTGGTTGCCAAAATGGAAATAGTCTAGCAATTTTCTTTTCTAGATGGATGACACTGCTTTGAACGCTAATAAGGTGATTAGGATGATTTGACTTTGAAGAAAAGTTATTGGTTGATTTAAGACTAATGTCAAATTGATAAACATCATATTGATTAGTTGGTGTTCTTATGAATAACTAATAATTGGAGAAATTTTAATTTAGGCCTTTTGGGAATCATTAAAAAAATTAACTTTTAATTTTTTATTCATTTTGAATCACATTATTTTTTATATTTTTTATTCACAAAAATATAAAGTAAATTAAAAAAAATTAAAAAATCAACTTTTTGCTAATTTTCCAAAGCACTCCTCAATGTAAGATTTTTAAATATATATATAAATGATAAATGTTATACATATTAATAGTTAAAATTATAAATTTTTTATGATTCTACATAATTATTTGATAGGACCATTGACAGGTAATTTCCCCTTAATAATATTGTCCAGTCACGGCTCTATCAGCACGGAATACTGATGTAAATGTATCAATAGGAGTTTATCTTATACCAACTAATAATTTTTTTGACTTTCAAACCTAATTTTTTATTTAAACCATTTCAATATTTTTTTAATAATGTGTTTGGATCTTCAATTTAATAAATAAATAAATAGTACCCAAAAAATGAGTTTATTTTAAAAAATTTATTCTTTATAAATGACTAACCCTCTGTTTTTTTATTAAATTTTTTCTTATTTTTTTTTTTTGGTGTGCGGAATGATAGGAAACAAAAGTCAATAAAAATAATTTTCAGCCAATGCAAGGCATATTTAAAAGGCAAAAAATTATTCAGTACATTTGGTTTCAGTTTTCTGACTTCAATTTTTTGAAAATTGAGTTTTTTATTTTTCATATTTTTTTTTGTTTTTAATGGATATTTTTAAAATTTTAAGTATTTTTTTTTTTTACTTTTTTAGATGCATGTTACTTAGATATATCTAAAAAGTAAAATATTTGTAAAAAAATATTTTAAAAAATTAATAAATATACAAAAATAAAAAAATATACTGAATTTTCGTATTTTTCTTGTATTTTTGGTATTTAATGAATTTTTTATAGATTTTTTTCACAAAAATTATACTTTTTAAGTGTATTGATATTAGGTGTGTCTAAAAATTAAAAAAAATTACTTAAAATATTTAAAAAAATCAGTAAAAACAAAAAAAAAATCTGAAAAACAAAAAGTAAGCCTGCGTTTGGTTGTGTTTTGTAAATGTGATTTGAGAGTATGAGTTTTATTTTGAGTTTGTGTGTTGTAGAATTATGATTGGAGTGTGGAAAATTTGTTTGGTAAAGAGTTTTGAAAATAGTTTTGGAAAAGAGGTTTGATTTGAGTGGGGAATTGTTGATGTGACATTTGATATGTGATACAAAAATTTACAAGTCATAACTAAACATACAACTCAAAATTATTTTAAAACACATAAAAAATTTAAAAAAATTCAGAAAATATTTTTCCCGAGTATGTAAATCAATTGCCAAAAAAAAAAAAAATTTCTGGAATTAAGAGGACATCCGGGTGGACGTTCCCAAGGACATCCGGGTGGACATCCGGGGGACATCCTCAGGCAAAATTTTAACAAAAAAACGCGGCCTGTGCATCAAAATTCTCTGCAGAGAGTGTGGAAAATTGATTTCAAAACCATAACCAAACATCATACTCAAACATACGTGTAGAAAATTGATTACAAATCACAACCAAACAGAGCCTAAAATTTTCTAAAAAATGTTTTTAAAAAATTAAAAACAAACATAGTGATTTTTATTGGAAATTTTTTGACTAGAAAATGGTTTATTAAGACAAAAATAGCCTCAAAAAATACAACTTAAAAAGATTTTGATGCCAATCCCAAACATGAAAAATGAACCGTCCAAATCGAATAGGATATCTAAACAGAATTATGATTGTGTGTAAATCTAATTAAATGTAAAATCTATATAATAAAAATATCATATTTTTTTTAAACCTATGTGCATGGTTGAGTGTTACGACTAAATAAATCTAAGCCTTATAAAAAAAGAGATATGCTAGAACTGAGAGTTAAGATTGAGGAGTTATTGTTTAATTTGACATGATTAATTTAAAATTAGACTTGATTTTTGATTTGATCATAGGGTTATTATTGTCCGATCAATATAATTTTTTATTAGAATATTCAACTTAACATGTCTTAAAAATAAAAACAATTTAAATTATTAAGATGAGACCTGTATTGGGTTCAGTTGTGCTCACAAGAGTGATTTCTGTGCCAAAGGAGACAACAAAGGATGATATATATATGGATTGGTGATAAGGCTTGGAAAGAAGCCTTCATAGATTGTACCTAATGCCTATCATCCAGTCAAATGAGATAAGGTTAGCATGTGAAGCACAACTCATCATTTATGGTTTTTATGAATGTGGCACTACCTCACCAAATTTTGCTGGACTTTTTGTTGATTGTGTTTGGTATATAATTTTTTTATTTGGGAGGTGAGAGAATTATTATTAAAGTTAAATTTTATTAATTTCTTTTTTGTTACGGGATTGTTTGTTTAGTTCATTGTCAAGTTTTGTTGTGTCCTTTATTTTTTTCTTATTCTGGGAGCTCTTTGTTAGATTGATTGTTAGATTATAATTATTCAAATTGTCTTTATATTTATGTGGGGATATATTTTCAGAGTACCAACACGTGGCATGGTGACGCCGAGGTGTCAGCCGAGGTGCCACGTGTCGTGGTAGTTATGCCAAGGTTATCTTGGCGAGGCCGAGGTGATCTCCGAAAATATCGGAATCCGAGATAAGCGGATAAAGGACAAGAGTCCTAGAGTAAAGAGAAGACTTAGCCAAGATAAGGATAAAACTCTTAGGGAGTTTATCTTTATCTCTTGAAGAGTCCAAAGTCAGTATTGAATTGGAGTCCATAGAAGTCAGGCTTCTAGTGGGACTTGGATTAAGTAAACTATAAAAGAGAGGCACCCCCATGGGTCTAAGGTACGCAATTTTATGCTTTGAATAATAAGTTTAGCACTTGATTATCTTTGAGAGATATACTGACTTGATCGTCAGAGTGCCCCCGGGTGGAAGAGCCACCGTCGGAGCCTTTTCTTTCTGTTACAGGTTTGCTAAAGCCATCTATTCTGCCGGTGCTCTCCAGCTGATTACTAAGCGGGCAGTGTGGTCAGAAAATTACTCACACAATTTGGCGCCGTCTGTGGGAAACTTAGAAGAATAGATGGCCAGTAACGGACAGAGGGAAAACATTGGGGGCGACACTCCTACTAGGAGTGGTAGACCAATTGACCTTGACGTTGAAGGAGACAACCACAATACAGAAAATCGTGACCAGGGCCACGGAGAGAGAGACGTCGGCTAGGAGGACGACGCTTCAAAGAGGACAGACCAAAGCAAGTATTATAACGAAGATAACCTTCAGGTATGGAGGGATAGGTGCCTACGGAGGGATGAGGAAGTAAAAGACTTGGCAAACAAGTTGGCAGACCTACAGTCAGTGGTCAACTTCATGATGCAAAACAATGTCATGCAGCCACCATACCCGCTGCAGGATACGCCAATGCCAGCAACTAACACCCAGAAGGGAGGAAGAAGAACAATCCCCGAAATCCCTCAGCACACCAGGAGCGAAAGGCACTCTCACCGACCTTCTGGGGAAGCCGGACGAGAGGAGTCGAGACGAGAGGAGTCCCGAAGAACGTATCACACGAAGGATCCAGAGCCCAAAGAACATCGGCATGTTCAAGGGTAGGCGTTTTGCTTTGACACAACACATGGAGAGAGATCAAAACAAGCCCACCACGAGGCCGA